AAACGGGGAGGGTTCGGCTCCCTGGGGTGTAGGCGCCAGACGTGGACGTGCAGGGCTGGAGCTGGTGTAGGAAAACTCTGCGAAAATCGAACGTCGATTTGGGAAGCTTCAAATTTATTTTAATAATTAAAACTGGGGGGAGGTGCAGGGGGAGCCTTTTGCTTTCCCTCCTGTGGCAGAGGTCACGACTCGAGTGCAGGATGCGTTGTCAGGTGTCACAAATGCTTCAGCTTATCCCATGGGCTGTTTCAGCCGCTGTCTGGGAGCTTCTTCTGTTTGGGAAGATACCGGTGTGCCCAGTGCAGGGCCCCATGTTCTCTGTGTGCCGCAAGGATCCTGGCCTCTGGCTCTCCTCTGTGGTTTTAGGTTGAACTCGGGTTTTCTAGGAGAGAGTTGTTTCCATGATGAAGAGCTGTGGGTTTTTAGGGGCAGCCTCTTCTCTGAGTGCCACCACGGAGAAGTTGGGCAGCTCCGGGCCCGCGCTCGTTGTGCGGTGATGACCGAAGGCGTGCAGCGGGCCAGCCCGTCGCGGGGGACGCTGTGTCGCAGGACCTGCCAGGCTGCAAGTTTCCCGAGTCACTCCTTGCAGCTGGGAGGAGACTGCAGAGATAGAATGATCTAAAAATGAGCAATTTTTGGCTCCCGGACCCTGTACGGTGCAGACTGTAGCTCTGTGTCGGGTGCCCGCTGCTTTGTTGGAGAAACGAGTTGGAATACAGTGAAAAGTGAGTGTCGTCGCTGAAATGAAGTGTCCTCTTGCCTGCAAGTTTCCCGAGTCACTCCTTGCAGCTGGGAGGAGACTGCAGAGATAGAATGATCTAAAAATGAGCAATTTTTGGCTCCCGGACCCTGTACGGTGCAGACTGTAGCTCTGTGTCGGGTGCCCGCTGCTTTGTTGGAGAAACGAGTTGGAATACAGTGAAAAGTGAGTGTCGTCGCTGAAATGAAGTGTCCTCTTGCCCTGACTGTTGCTCCCTCTGTGCCCGCAGCTGTACGAGAACTTCATCAGCGAGTTCGAACACAGGTGAGTCTGTTTCCCCAGGAGCTTCTCGGGAACCGACCCTTGACCGAGACTCCTCTGACCACGAGCTTTTTGTTCCAGGGTGAACCCCTTGTCCCTGGTGGAGATCATTCTCCACGTGGTCAGGCAGATGACGGGTAAGTCTCCTTGCCTGCTCCTCACAACGTTTTTAGCAGCTGGTGGCTACAAGATGTGGCCAGT